GAAAATGACTGAGCTTTGGTGATAAATTTAAGGCTGGAGGTTCCTATCTAGAATGCGTGCCGATAGTATGGAGATACTGGCACGTCGAATCTACCCTAGTTATTGTTTAAAGTTTGTCTGAACCTTAGCATCCAATGGGTTCTTTCTGAAAGCACTTTTCTGAGTCACGATTTCATGTTATTACGAACTTCCATTGAAAGTGGTCGGCGAGTGCTGTGAGCATGTTCCAGTGCCTTCGCGTGGGGAAGGAGTCGAGGCGCAGGTGACGGTGTTGTGTCAGGCAGGCGGAGCACTTCGGAGAAGCACAAGGCCGATGCCTCGCGTACGGTCTTGTACGGAGTGGCTGACTCCACGTGGTTGCTGGGAGACCACATACTCCAGTCCTGGGCTCTACGACTCGGTTATTCGGAGAGTGGGATGACGTTGCAGCGCGTGTGGACGGTGTATGAATTAGGTTAGTGGCTCTTTGCATCACAAAGGTCCTTGTATTATCATATGGTGAGATAACTTTCTGTGTTACAAAATGGTGTTAGATGATTGGTGTAATGATAGAATGTGAGTATTCTCATCCGTGAAAGCATTTCCTGGTGTGTTGTCTTCGATACTGGCACGGAGAAATATTCCAAAAGAGAAATGGTGTCAGCTTTATGGCTATGACGTGGGTCCGAGGTAATTCATGGTAAACCGGTTAATGACCAGGCAAAGCCGCGATGATAAATTGCAGTTCCCGGATACACGCAAGCTAGAAGGGGTGTTGCTATTCGATTGCCTGACCGTCGCTCTTTGCCATGCGGAAGGCTTATCGCAGAAGGATGCTAAAAGATCTGTTATAGCAAAGACCTGGTGTCGTGCAATGCAAGGAGAGTCGAAACACCTTGCTTTTGTCTGTGGAGGGTGAGATCAATTTGCTCAAACGCCAGTGGCGCAGGAGCTTGTATGGGAAGATAATGCTAGACTGAGACCGGAAACGTATAATCTCCCCTCAACCCGAGTGACCAGGAAGAAGCAACAATGTGGAGTGGCAAAGGTCTGCACCGTGGTTTACGTGAAGCCACATTTGATGAGGCTGATTGACTCTTGTGTAGACTTCGTCCTGCCTGAGAGGACATAACAAGCCATTCCTGGCAGTGTTCCGTATGGTCGTGAGAACTTGACGTTGAAGTCACCAATGGCTTGCATGAGGCTTCTTCCGGATAAAGTTCCGACGGCAGTGCAGTGAATCTTAGACGAGCAAAGTGTGTTCCTGTATTGTTCCAAAGTTGGGTCAGCTAGGTCAGGCATCATTCAAATTGGGCAGTCGATACGCTCAAGTCTATTTGTGCTGCCCGAGCAGGATACCGATATGGTTTCAATCAGCTTGATGGATGATGCGGCTGTCGTCGTTCAATTTGCGCGTCGGTGACCAGAGTAAGCCGAATTAGCTAAGAGATGCACGTTTTGCGACAGCTGCAAGGGACCAGGGAGCCACGCGAGAGAAAAGGAGGCATCAGCGCCTCTATGGAGAGCCTCGTGGCGTGATACTCATGCATGCGATTCAGACTTGAGTGTCGGCTTGCAGCGCAGTCGATATGGAGCGATTTGATATAGGGCATGGACCTCCGTGTGGGGTTGCCCTGGTAGCGCCGCCAGCTAAGCGTGCCTTCTGCGGCCTCACCAACAGATCGCTTCGCCCAGCTCCAGTACATCCACATACCTATCGTATGATGTAGGCTTTTCGCGATTGCTGGTGTAGCTTAGACAAAATCTCATTACCGCATGCCTCATGCGCGACACATATAGCTCTACCAAAACACCCTACCCTTACCGGCCGTTCCTGCACATCCCGAATTGCGACGGCTGCCATGTGTGCTTCGTTACTGCGCGTGCCACAAACCAAATGCCTGCGTAACATGATCTCGGAGACCAGAAGCCGTGGTATTATAGGTAAATACGTCAAATACGGAACGTATGCTACACAACTCATGTCTCTGACCATCAATTGGCCAGTCAACATAACCTGAAACTTGACTCATCTGAGTAAACGTCAAGATGGCGAATACCAGTATTTTCAGGTTGGGCGCAGGATTCCTGCTATGCATACCCACCGAGACGCTGCGGTCGGCATCATTGTGTTTCGCCCGTATTAGCTTTTAGTATGGTTCGACTGGATGCCGCGGAAGACATCGATGACGGAAAAGACACACATTGTTACCTCAAGATTCGACAACATTGGAAGACAAGGCATGAGGCAAGAAGTCGTACGATCGGCTCAAAGAGTCTGGAATACTTTTGACTTACAGCCTCTAGCATGCACAAACCTCGCCATCTACAGCGGAAGAATTCTTTTCGGCCCCTCTTAGAGTCAGCCCCATTGTTGGTTCCGTACCGATCATCGACCTCGCGTATCCATCGGATCCACTAGAGTTTGTCTGGAGATGTTCGCTCGACCATCGTGGGGGTCAGTCCACTCTGCAAGGGGAATTCGAATCATACCACAACTGGGTGATATACTCTCCAAAGACATAACTGATCCGAGCTTGTACGCCTCAGCACACAATGGGTCCTACACGGTAATTTGCATTCCATGTTGCCTACGGATGAATCGACTGGAAACCTTTACTAGCCATCGCTTGTCCACTTACGTTCCGAATATGAACGCGACAACATGCCACTCGTATGCTCCACTGCCGAAACTGGTAAGCGTATCGTGGTCACAAAAAGGCTTAGACCGTCTGAGATATCTGCTCGTTGCAGAGACAGCGATAGGCATTGCGATCACAAGCTTCCAGCCACTGAATAAGCATGCTACTCCAGATCGAGGTTTCATTAGGTGAATCTCTTCCAGAATACCAGAAATTCATAAGATACGAGCTATATTACGTCATGATGAGCGAGTCTCATGAGCCATATGAGGCACTTTGCTCTCCCGGATTGTTACTTATACTCACACCGCTTGATAATGGACATACAACATCTCTTTGCACCGATCTGTGCATAAACACAATTACAAGTCTGCTCGCCCTACTAAATGCTGTACTTTTGAGCTTGCCATGCATAGTCGACATACTTTGTCCTTTTCAAAACCCACCCCAATGAGCATATGAACAACGGCGTGTCGCATAACAGTACCTAGACGCTAGACGCTGGACAAGCTACACACATCAGACCATCCAAATTTCATTGGGGAACGCTCGACAATGCGGCAGTCTCGAGAAGTTACAACATTCCTCAGCTTACCCGCTGCATTGCGAGAGCGAATCTACGCCGAGGTTCTGATATCACTCGAGCAAGGCCCAGAGATACTCCGCAGTTGCCGCCAGGTTGAAAGAGAAGCTCGGAAGTTCTTATACCAAAGACCCGTCAACTTTCCGACTCAACTTTCATTGTATGAATGGTTAGATGCAACGCCTGACAACCTCCTCGCACAGGTTATCGATATCTCAGTGGCAGTCCAAGATATCAATCTTCGATCCATACTACATCCTCACGCGTCGACTCTACTATCACCTGGCCCTCCACGACTGCTTACCTGGGATCTGTACGAGGCGGAAGTCAGTCGATTCACGTTGGCGTTAGAGAGGCTGCCGCACGTTAAGACAATTGCTATCCAAGCATCTTCGAACTCTCCATCTCACCTTTATGACGAGTTCGTGTCTAAGGTCTTGATAGAGTCGAGGTCGAAATTGCCGGATGCCAGAGTAGTACATGTCGTAAATCTGGGTTCGCATAATACAGCGGAGTATTGAATAAGCCGCGAACTGGCTGTTCAACATCGACGGAGGCTTTACAGGGTTCGGGCTGATCCCACCGTTGGAAAAATTGGCCTCTTCATTGGTTCGGTTCATCGCGAGGCTGATGAAACTAACGGACGCCTACCGAACCTTGATGCAGAGGCAGTGTGATCTTCGCAGAGATCTGATGCAGGAGCGTATCGATACCCAAGCTGTCAGGCATCGCATGGAAGCATCCTATGTCGCTGATGCTAGTCGAGTGTTGCGGACTGATCGAGTGGGATACACGGGAACATCTTGGTTGAAGTATGAGAATTGTACGTCATTGCGTGTGTCTATCGAACTCGAGTTGATGCTCATTCGGCAATTTCCGCTAGTAGCTGGCTTGCGAGAGGTCAATCCTAATTGTTTCGAGGTTATCCAAGCTCAGAACTAGGATGCACTGAACGAAGATGTTATAAACGAGTATGCGAAAGGTGAGATGCCCAGGTCTTTTGATGAAGCTAAGACTGTTGGCACCAAGGTTATGCCTCATCAGCTTATCTGCGGGTTCGGGTTCGGGATCGTATAGGAGCGGAACCTTAAAGAAACATGCTGGCACTTCTAAAGTCGTTTGGAATGTGACCTCGTGATATGACCTATCATCTCCAAGCTATCTTCTGCGCGCAGTCAACCACTGCACGTCATTGTTGATCGCGATATTTCATCGTTTTTTTTTTGAGCTCATATCAACGTATACCGGGATGTGATAGTGTACTAGAGTTGCATGATGAGATTGTCGTGAAGATGACGATGCGTTCTAGCATCACCCTTGGGGAGGTGTAGATGCTGGTCTGTTGTAACTTCATGCACTCGGTGACAGCGACTGGCAGTGCTGACTAGTGCGTATTTGTCAGCGCCGCTGGGCGGGGATCGGCCGTTCTGCTAGTAACGAAAGATCAGACCGATCGAGCATATGTCAGCAAAGTATTCCTTTGATCAGCCAACTCACAATGTCAAGTGCTGGTGTCGAAAAGCGTGGCTCTGCCTCTACTGTACGGGTAAGCAAGTTTTGATGTTTTCTCCCGGTCTAGTTCATCCGCGGCTCCATGCATCCGGCAAGGGCGCTCCCGACGCGACTCAGCCTCAACATCCGCGGAGAGCTATCTAGCATCGAATGTCGCTTCCAGAGCATTTTGTACGCGCCGATTTCTAAACTGACGCGTCTTTTAGGCTTGCGATCTGTGCCGCAAACGAAAACGAAGATGTGTATGGAATTCTGGCCCCCAAGGCTGCTCGCCATGCACCAATATGAAAGAGACGTGTACGACCACGTACACGCGGAAGCAGAGATCGAAACCACAGAGAGGGTATGATCTGAGTGCGTGCTCCAGTTTTTCAGTGTAGGCTAACGATGGTTTAGTAATCGCATAGTCGAGTATGAGAGTCGAATCAAGAGATTAGAGTCGCTTCTACATGAGCGGAACGTCACACAACCTGAAATACGTCAACAACCGATCATGCAGGTCACAGACGCTTCAGTTCCGCTCTCGAAGTGGGTTGAATCATTGCGCCATGAGGTAGAAACTGGGCCTCAACCTCAGCTTCCGGACCTCAATCCCTTCGATCTAGAGGGTCTTTTGCAGGGCAGCGACGGAGTATTTGCAGATGAACTCGGTGCTCTGTCTATGGGCGACACTAGTCAAGGTTCTTCAGCATTAGACACTCCACTCCCGATTTCCTTAGATGGCATCCAGCCATCAGTTGACTTTCAAGAGGATGCTGCTTTCTTGCAGGGCGGGCATTTCGGGCCGAGATCGACCGAGGGGCTCAGTCCGCTCCCCCAACCGACAACAACCAGTCCTGATAGTGATTGGTATCTCCCACCTCCAGAGCTTGGAACATCACTGCTTGCAGAATTCCTGACAGACTTGAATACCGCCTATCCACTCTATCAGCCACATGTTATTGCCGACCACCTCCGGACGTGTTATGCAGGGCTGTCCGATGGCGCGGCAGTTGCTTGGACGAGCGCGTACATTGTCTTCGGTATGGCACATCATCTTCGCGGAATGAGTGTGACTGGGAACAGCTACGATATGGACATGGCTCAGTATTATCTCGCCCGCGCATATTCCACACTAAACACTCTTCTTGCGGCGCCACCGTCCCTAGGACAAGTACAATGTCTTATTGGGTTAGCACTGCTCATGGTGGCCAGTCCTTGCAGCTATAAACAATCAGCAGGACACTTCGTCTCCACCGCACTACGTGTTATCAGAAGTCTCGTATACCAAGAGGAGAAGGACTGTCTCACGATAGAACAGCTAGCCAACAGCGCACAACAGCGTCGCGTTTTCTGGATCTGCTTTATTAACGACATTACTTTGGCCATTCTGAATAACACACAACCTACACATAAGCTCCAGGATGTTGCCAATTGCTCTGACTTTGTAGCAGACGAACTCGGTGCACTTACTGCAGCCGAGGGTACATGGCGAGTGCTCATATTTTGGTTGTTTACCAGGATAGCTTTGCTCCAAGTCGAAGCTATCGATCAGGTGTTTTCCCGCACGACAAGCAACAACACTCCTCTCGACTTGAGCGCTGCTACTTCCATTGTCTTCGCACGGCTACAGGCGTTTCGCGAGCAACATCATATCTTTCACCTCTCCGCTGGTCAGATTCAACAATTATTGTACCGGGCAGATATTTGTCACTGCATTGCGCTTGAGGCTTACTACTTCGCTACTATATATCGACTGCATGCGTTTATGGCCATGGATATGAGCTCGAAGATCAACCCTTTTGAGATGGATGGCTTGAGTAGGATGTCGAAGATGAAGCAACATAAATCATATTCGGAGGCGCGAAGACTTTTGAGTCTGTTGCCGGTAGCTCCGCGAGGCAATGTCGCCTTGTACTGGTAAGTGATATGCACGAGAGCTTCTAAACTCAGCCGTGTAGTCAACTACGACAAACAGTCGCTAACCACTTTGTAGGATGATACATTCCATTCTCATCGCAGCGCTCGTTACTATCCTTGCACACCATATTCAAAACCCAATGGCAGACGCCCCTTCGCCTACTGAATTGCGCATCTATCAGCAACTAGTTGCCGACCTCGATATCATGGTCGGTGCAGGCGACAATCCGGATTTGGCAGACAAGGCGACGTTCTGCAAGCGCTTGCTATCAGCTTACGAAGCACGATTCCGTGCTCAGAGGATAGGGGGTCCTCTACGCAGCATCGCAGTGACGAGCTAAGAAAGGCTGCGTTGTTGGTTCGCAAACTCGCGTCAAAGAAATCAATTGTCCTCTACCACTTCTATCATGTAAACCCGGACAGTGAATCGCTATTGCAGATACAAGAGATCGAAGCCAACGGATCTCGTCAATCAGAGAGACCTCCCATATCTCCAACATCATCCGCAATTCGATACCCTACGAGTTCTCATCATATGGCACATCAGGTCCAACGAAGGTGTTCCGATTTCTATGATCTGTACAAAACGTGCGGCCACTGCATGTTGTGTTCTATCACACTCCGTTCACAACGATAATTTGTATCGAGTCAGCCTTCCGTCACTATTCAAGGCATATTTGTGGGCGATTGGGCATGGCTGGAGCAAGAAGATACCCGTCTAGATACAAAGCATGCAAAGCGCGGATTGCCTTGTCGTCATTTACCCAACTATTCAACCGCCGGCACAGTTGTCGTACGTGGCTGGGCGAGCTACAAATCATCTCGTCCGTCCTTGACGTTATGGTATGTCCCTCTCAGCTCTCGACGCAGTGTGTCAGCTTGGTGTGATTGAGCACAAAAGTGGAGCTGCTTAGCTGACGCTAACCCAGCAAGCGCCAATCTCGGCTCCCGCTTTCGCTCAGCTGCACCTGTTCGTCCTTAGAATCTAACAGTTCCTTGTCACTCACAATCCCATCGCATGTCCAACACTTTGATTGACCATCGCACGTAATAATTCTTGATGCGCGACACCGGTACCTCGCCTTACAAAGCCGCACGCGATGCGGAGACAGCTTCAGCAGCCACCATCCTGCAGTCGGGCCACACAACCTATATCAGGCAGCAACCCCATGGCTAGTAGTATCACAACCTGCCCAGACCGGTCAAGGTGTTTTGCGCTGGGTTAATTAGATGGCGTTCATCGGCCAATCAAAGACGGAGGGTGTGCGAAGCACGGCTAGGATTTGGGGGCCGATACGACAGCCTTGAGAACGCCTCTGTGACGATAAAAGTAGCGTGTGCCCAGCATGGCTTTTGCCATAAATCAGCATATGGTTTAGCATCTATCATTTTCAACAGGCTCGCAAGCTTTTCTGCGTGGAAGGCTTCCGAGTACAAATCTCTCAGCCTCCGGCGAACCAGAGCTTCGCCGCCTCACGAAACCCTCGAAGCTTCATTGTGCTTACTGAAAGATGGGATTTAGGCGTAAAAATGACGAGCCGGACCCACCAGATCCGGTCTTCAACGAAGACCAAGACCTCAGCGAAGTTTGGCCGCAAGTCGTGCGGGAGTATGAGAACATCACCAAAACGAAGCTAGATACGAGGATGACCTTCGAGAGCTTCCAGCTGCAGGTCGACGCAAGCATAAAAGAGTCTAATACTAAAAGTCATCAACATGCTCGGAAGGTTTTCAACAATGTCGGAGCCTTTATCGAGAAGTTTGGGAGCATCGTCGCACAAGGAGCAGGTATGGTCTTTGGGCCCACAGCTCAATGCTGGAACGCGATTAGCTTCGTTATTCAAGCAGTACGGGGCTTCAATGACATGATGGACGGGTTCGTCACTCTAATGGAACGCTCATCAGCCTTTCTGCGGCGCCTAGTGCACTTTATGCAGCAAAAAATGGGCGCAGATGGCACCCATCTACCGCGCAATCTTCGCAAACCGGCGTACGAAATTCTTGCCCTATTCCTGCGCGTACTTCAGTCTTCATACAAGCTAGCGACCAGCAAAAGAGAGCATTTCAAGGCTATGGCGAAGATCATTCTGTTCAGCTCCGACGAGCAGGTTGCAGATTCACTCAAGCTCATGGAAGGTCATGTCAAAGACTTCACCATGGCTGAGATCGATGAGATCTTGTTGGACGTCAAAGGGCTAGCAAGACACCTTGACAAATCTGATGAGGAAAGGAAACGCTACGAAAAGGATATCCTTGAATATATCCAAGAAACATGCAGAGTTGGCGATCAGGTTCTGAGTATCACTCAGCAGATGAAGAGCACTTTGGATGGTAGAATTAGCAAGGAACAACATGAAAAGAACCTGGACAAGATAGCAAAGACTCTGGGACTCAAGAAACCTTCCGGGGACTGGGAGACTTGGAGCAAGCGACATAGCGAGCTCTGCAAGACTCATGTACCTGGAACAGGAGAATGGCTTAGTCAAGACGAACCGGCGTTCATCCAGTGGGCTGATCTTGATCAGCATGACAAGAAAGTCCTCTTCCTGAAGGCCGATTCTGGTTTCGGCAAAACACATCTGTTTAATTATGTCGTTTCATATCTCGAAAAGAAATGTCGGACCCCGCGTGGACCAAATCAAACTTTCCTGGCCTATTACTACTATGGAGAGGATAAGGATGACTCGCTCGAGCGGTGTATAGGATCCATCGTCTACCAACTCGCAGTCGCAGATGTTGCATATGCTCAAGCCGTAGTCGAAGAGTGTGGGCGACCCGCAAGTATTGCGCGAGCTGAAGATCGGTGGAAAAACCTTGTAACAGGATTGCGACATGCCATGAAAGGTACATACTTCATATGTATGGATGGTTTCGATGGCCGTGGCCAGTTAGACACGGCAGAAACAATGATGTCAACTATTTCACATCACACTACGTCTCCAGCGGAGTCCAACGGAATTGCTCTGCGTTTCTTCATATCAGGAAACGATGAGGCATTCTCTGAAGTATCACAAGCAGTCGAAAGTATTCCCACTATTGTTCTCGGACCCCGTGGGGACATTGCCCGTTCCTCAGAACGAGCTAGTGGCAATTCAGATATTGCGTCGCTTCCAGAACAACTGCCTAATGCAAGTGATCTAGAAGCTGTCACGAGGGCCCGAATCAAGGATGTGTGTAAGACCAAACCCGCTCTAAAAGCGATTCTCACCGAAGACAATATCAAGCTTCTGCTAGAAGGCATCCGTGGAAACTACAAAAACCTCGAGGCTAAGATTACGGAGATCAACGCTTGCGACACCAAAGGGAAGGTTCAGGACGTCATTAACAACACCAGCGCCGACATGGATACCGTTCAAAGGAACAGACTCAAAACGCTGGATGCTTTGCTGAATTCACGTCAGGCTCACGTGCTCAATGATCTTCTTGTTTGGGTTGCTGGCCTGAGTTACCAACCACCGACTAAGCTACTCGAAAGCGTTCTTTTCTACAATTTTGGCGAGGAATTTCTCCTTGCTGATCAAATTGCTACCACTTATTCACCCGTACTCGTAATTGACAAGGAGGGCAGAGTAGGGTTGAAAGACGGCCTCAAAGACATCCTGTCCGTGAGCGACTCCTCAGGCTCCGAATCAGCGATCTCTCAATTACATGCCGAAGCAATCAGCGGAGCTGAAGTCAACCTCTGTCGCCGGTTCATAAAAAATGCGTGCGACCCGACAGATTACGCCAGATTCAGATTTGACGACTTCTTCCAGGCTATGGAACAGAAAGTCCATATTCATCTTGACAGTGGAAACGACGTGAACGTTACAATTCTCGAAAAATGTGTTGATGCTCTTTTCGACAGTCGGAAAGAAGACAAGCTTGAAGAACTGCGCGACTATGCTTCGAAGTGGTTCTACTCGCATCTCAAGGATCTGGTAGAGGCGCTCGATGACTTTGAGCCGAGCAGGAAATTTCTCATTGACATCGGAGTCAAGCTGGTCGATTTGATCTACGACCCAAAGATGATCGACTCGTGGTTTTCCGAGAAAAGTCTGTCTTGGCTGAAGTACGACTTTTTGTATACAGAGGACTTCATCGATCCTTTACTGAAGTTATTGAAGAATTCGCAAGCAGAGTTGCTAACAATCAATCCAAACTGATGAGACTGACTGACTGACTGATTGCTTGGCAGTCAGTTCAGTGTCAGTTTAGAGCTCTCGTCTTATCAGTCAGTTCAGTTTAGAGCTCTTAAACTG